CCCCCCCCCCCCCCCCCAAAATCTGGTGTCTTACCCGCTATCCTGAGCACAGCTCTCTCCGCTGGATCCAGCACAGACCCTCCTTGGATCTTCCTCTTGGATCTCTCGTGCCTGGGTAGGTTCCACGGGAGGGTGTCGCCCGGAGCCGGCGAGAGGGAGCCGGATTTTGGGCTGAAATCCTCCTCGTCGGAAAAATCCGCAGAGGAGGAAACGGAGCATCGGTAAGAAGCGTTTCCCGAGCTCTGGAGGAGAAAAGACGGGAGGAGAAGGAGGAGGAAGAGGTATGAGCATTGTAGCGCCAGCAACAACGGAGGTAGACATTTTTGCCCCCCCTTCGGAACCAAGTTCGATCCCCCTCAACCTGAAAAGGAGACGCTACCCACCTACCGCCACTGACTCGCAGGCTACCCGCGTTTGCAAGGATCGCTAGACAAATGGCTCACCATTGTTGCTTACACACGCTGCTAAATCCCACCGCGGCGAAAGAGGCTCGGGGGGGGGGGGGAAACGCATCGGCGGGAGGCTTTCGGGGAGACGGGTGGCCCTCGGCGCTCCGGCACACAAAGATCCAACCCGAGTTGCCCAAGAATCAAAGCCAGAGAGGGGGGAAAAAAGGGTGCCGGGAAGAGAGAATTGTTGAAAAGCAAACAGCAAAGGCTCCGAGTCACAAAGCGACCTTTGGCTCCCCCTGCAGGCGACAGGGGGGAAAAAAGGAGCCTTTCGCTCTTGGATGAGTCGCGGGGGAGGGAAGGATGCCAGTGTTTCCCTCCCCCCCCGCCCCCTTATCCAGGATGCGGGCCTCGGCGATGGCAGGGCAGTTGCCACGCCCTGGTTAAGTCCCTTTCCTTCCGAGAAGGGAAAGGAGAGGAGAAAGGAAGGAAGGAGAGAAGAAGGAGAAGAAGGGGGTAGGAAGGAGGGAGGGAAGGAGGGAGGGAAAGAAGGAAAGAAGAAAGGAGGGAAGGAAGGAGGGAACGTAGGAGAGAAGGAAGGGGGAAGGAAGGAGGAAAGGAAGAGGGAAAAGAAGGAGAGAAGGAAAGAAGAAAGGAGGGAAGGANTAAATGATCAGAAGCGTAGCAAAGCGAAGACTGATTATTTAGGCATGAAAGCGAGTGATATATAAAATAACCCATTCCCCTTGGCATCCCAGTTGCAGTCCAATCATAATTCTCCCAAGTGTCAGGTGTGAGATAACTTTGAAAGGCATCACCAAGATGGAATGTCGGTGCCGTTGGCCTTGGCAGGAACCTCCTCTGCATGTGCAGTCCGACAGGGAGCAGAACTCCAGAATCTTCCTCCAGCACAATTAGTAATCCCCTCCCAAATACCATGCCCCCCCTTCCCATTTCAATGGCAGCCAAAACAGCAGCAAAGCAGAGGCTGACAGACACCTTGCTATGTCACAGAATATATTGGAAATTAAAATGTCTTCTATTGGAGATTCAAAGGATATTTTGATACCCTCTTAGTCTTCAGCCATTGAACACTATGCCTGAAGGACATCATTATCTAAAGCCTATTTAGCTGGCTTTTTTCATCTTTTATGTATGCATAAAATTAGATTATCATAATTTTTTTCTAATAATTAAATTAGTTGATCTCATTTTTTCCTGATAATTAAAAAACACACGTCTTAAAATAGGTTGAACGGATACGATAATTTCCGATCAGCTCCACAAAAGCTTAGAATTATATAAAACTTTTTAAAAGAACAATGCTCCAAAAACACTAGTTCTGGAGAACTGGTAGTGGAACCTTTGAGTAGTTTGGAGAACCAGTAAATACCATCTCTGACTGGCCCTACCCCCATCCATTCTCTGCCTCCCAAGTCCCAGCTGAATGGGAGGAAATGGAGATTTTACAGTATCCTTCTGTTGCCACACCCACCAAGCCAAGCCATGCCATGCCACGCCCACAGAACCAGTGGTATTTTTTTAATCCCACCACTGCTCACTAGGTATGTCTACTATTAAGACTTATGAGCCTTTATAGAAATGATAGAGTTTTTTTTAAAAAGAGTCTCCACAGCAGTTTGCAATAAATTTAAATAAGCCAAAACCTTGGGTATGCACAATATATACATAGTTTATTATTATAATTAATAAACTCAGTTATATATTAATAATTATTCTTCACCAAATTATACTAAAAGTTGCAGTGAACTGAGGTGCTAATTTCTTAACACCAAGATGTTGAAAAAATTCCTATAAAGATATATCAATATTTATGAAAAGCATGAGCACTTTTATAGGTCACTGCAACCTTTCCAGTTATTATTATATTGTTTTCCTCCAGGATAATTTCCTTAGCAGACAGAACCAAATGGCTACTGCATTTATATTTATGGTGATTTTTTTTGTAGTGCCCAGATGGAGAAGCATTTCTTATTTAGATGCCTGCAAGTCCCTTTAAGCAACTTTGCTAATAATATCTGAATTGTTGTTTTTTTATTATAATGCTTTTTAAAGGGACATTTTTGCTGGTGAAATTTTTTTTGGGGAGGCACCAAGTACTCTTGCTTGAAACTGAACATGAAGAAGTCACTTTTTTGCAAACCTTTTGGAAGAAGGCGGGGCTTAGCAGTGAGAAGATGGAGTTTCAGGCTATTCCTGAAATTCCCCTATTCCGAAGGAAATTGGACGGTCCGTTTCGGACCCAAGCTGTCCTGGAGAGACAGTGAAAAGTTGGAGGAGATCCAGTGACCACAGAGACATTCGCAAAGTCTCTGGGGGGCTTGGAATTTATCCTCCTTTGCCAGTTCCTTCTGGATTAGCTGCAAGCTAACTGAAACTGCAGGTTGCCCCTAACAACTGGTAAG